AGACAGATATAGAAGCATCAGAAATTAATTCTCAAATATGCTGCTTTTCATGAAAAAAAACAAGCAGATTCTAGACCTGTCCTAATGTGCTTTTCATATTAGTAAAAAATGAGTTGGCAAAATTAAAATGATAAGAAAGAAAATAAGTCGATACTTTTCAAAAAGCATGTCAAAGGTTCAATTTTTAAAAATACAATAACACTGTTATAACAGAGTTAAAACTGTAAAGATATTATTTATACCTGCAAAAGCAAGCTGACTCTAGAATTTACAGGAAAACTAGTCAAATTAAGAGAAACAGTCAGTACACAATCAACCTATGGTTAAGAAGCACATTTGAGGGTACCTAGTGATCTGTATAATCTTGTCTCAAATTTCTTTTTTACATTGTCATTTCTTCCTGTTACAACTTTAGCCCTGGGGCCCCATATTTTCCATAATGCTCTGTTAAATACCACAAAGAAAAATCCTTGACTGAGTTCTCTCTTCTTTCTAAAGGGTAACTCTGAATATTGCAAATGTGACATAATATTAGAAAGCCATGCTATTCCAGAGTCTAGAACCTTTGATTTAGTTCTGTTGAAAACCTTGAGGTAAAGGAAAGGCAGCAGAGTACAAATTCAAGAGATGATGTAGCCTTTTGAGATGGATGGGTATATTTTGTTTTCTAGTTTATTTTCATATTGCTTTTTTGTTATTTCCAGAAACTTTAATGTTTTAAACCTCTTTTATAAAATTCAACAACTATTAGAAATCTATTCTTTGCAGAAGTTATCTCCATTTAAGTGGCTAAAAATATTGTTCATCATTACATGATTATAAAATGACTATAAAGAATAAAAAATTAAACTGAGTGACTTAGTCACTGCCTTGCTAATTCTGCTGTAATTTTTTCAAATGTCTTGTTTTTAATATAGCGGACTATCTCAATACTGGCTGGATTAAGTTGAATAAAGAATTTTTATGTTAAAAAAAAAGAAAACCTTGTTTAGTACTATTTGCCAAATTCTACCATAGGGGGCAGCATAATCCATGGGAAGGAAAAGGGTTGTTTTTGAAATTGGACAATTCAGGATTAAAAGCTGCCAATTATGGTATGATTTGGGGTGAAGCGTTTGGCCTCTCTGTAGCCTTAGTTCACTAATCTGTTGTGGGATCTTGCACACACTATGAGCTTAACAAACAGCAATTCCCGACTACCACTCTTGACTTTTAACATCAGGACAGTCTAGAATTTCTAACATTCTAATATTTCAAAAAATTATTGTTTGCCAAAGGTTCCCATAAAAACAATGTTAAGTAACGAAGGGAAGAGAGATTGCCCTCAGAGTTCTGACAGGTTTCCATATCCAAAGAATAAATCAAGGCAAGGAAAAATCTAAAAGTTTTTTTTTCTTACTAATATCATATGCAAATGTTACACATTCAGGAATGATGTATAAATAAGTCTAGCCATACATGGGGTTTGTTTAGGAGACTGAAAAAATACAAAAAGCACACCAGATAAAACTGTAGAAGGCTAATCCTGTATTAAAATTTTAAAATGGGTTTTTTAAAAATGATCTTATAGCCTCTATTCTTCTCAAAAGTAAATGTTTAATAAGAATTGGATGAAATTGTGATCTAGGGTAATGTTTATAAAACTGTCTTATGCTTATAATGATCAATAGTTTAAAGATCTCCCTAAATAAAGTAGCTGAACTAGTGAGAGTTTCACCCTATTCACCATATTTTAAAAACTAGGTACATGGATAACTGACATTTTCTTCTAAAGCAATGCAGTAATTGATGACTTTTAAAAATGTTGAAAAAGCACTCTGGAAATGAACTTAAAGATGACTTTCATGAATGGACAAAAAGAAAAACATTCAGATCAATTTTACTCTGAAATTCTACTCTGTAGAAAGGTATTGCTGTGTTGGGAATCCAACAGCTTTACAGTCTTCATGTCATATTTATGAAGACAAATGACTTCATGATGAACAATATATCCAAGATATATATAAAAACACATATGTACACACATGTCCATCTCTGCTGCTGTCTTGTATGTATAACCCAGTAATTTTATGTGTGTGTGTGTGTGTGTGTGTGTGTGTGTGTGACTGAGAATCACAAGGATGAAAACACTCCATAAACTGGGTGTACTTAAGAGATAATAGTATGACTGTATTAGATATATCTAAAGTTCTGTTTATGGCTTCATCTTTAAAGTAAAGGAAGGTCAAAGCATCTGTCAAACCTGTGTAGTGGTAGCTTTCCCACAGAATGTTATGCCAGTTTCTCCTTTTGCAAAAAAAGATGTTTTGCTTAGATACCTTTTTTATTTAAAGTATAACAGAAATCTGCAACAGCTTTGTATTGTTCATCAGGGCTTAATTTTGATTAAACTCCTTTCTTAAATAAGAAAATGCATTGCATTTTCAGTACTAAACACCCATTCCTCTAACTGAATTTTTAGAAAAAGGGAGATACAAGCTTCCTCTTTTGATATGTGTAACCTTAAGGGAGTAGCAGAAGACTAGTGACAAGTCCAGTGAGCTTTCCCTGGGCTGGATCTTACAGCAGCCTGCCTGAGGCTGGTCAGTCACTGGATAAGAACTGGGCACGGGTGGTGTAAGGGTCTCTTCTCCAAGAGGGGCATGAGAAATAAGGACTAGTCATGTCAGCCCCGATCAAAAAGGCACTTCCCCAGATACCACAGTCAAGCACTGTTGGTCAACAGGACCATTTACATCCCTGGACAGATAAGCACGGACCCTTTGAGCAGACAACTTGTACCAGGATGGGTAGCAGCAGAAGCTAAACAAGCTCTTTAAGGGTGAAATTCTAAAAGCTGCAGGCTGTGATTTCACTAATGCACTCAAAGCAACTATTTGGCTGGCTAACATAAATGACTTCAATACTAACAATGAAATCTACAAACAGAATTTCAAGAATAATTGTTCTGCTTACTAGGTTGCTGATTTACCCAAAGAAGGCTGGGTTGAGACTCAAGCAGTCCAAAGACTTCTCACAGCAGTGTACAGTGTGTGTGTAAATGGGCACAGTGTTATTCTCATCGCGTCTTTAAGTTAACATCGTGATTTTTACAAGGGATGCTAGAAAGTGTAATGTGTGACTAAAATATCTCAAGTTATCACGGAAACACCATATCATTGAGGGATTTGACATAAATTGAATATTAGATAATGAATCCAACTACTGATGATACAAATTATACTTCGGTACACTCATATTGCTGAATATAGGAGAAGAGATACTCGTTACATAGTCACTCAAGTAAATAAAAGTACAAGGAAAATAACATGTAGGAAAGATGAGTTGTAGTTTCTAAAAAATAATAAAGACCAAACTTATTAAGTCCTATTAATTTAATGATATGAAATATTCAGCCCTCAAATCAAATATGTGATTCTGCTTTTACTTGGGCAAAATATTCCAACTTGAATGGCAGGGGTAAACGAGAAGAGAGTGGACCAAAATTTTATGCAGATAATGTTTTTCTAATGGAAATAAAATAGATAAGGAGATAGAAGGGGAAGAGGAAGAAGAGGAGGAGGAATACCAGATGGCAGAAGCTGGGGGAATGGTAGTATATAAGACCTGAGCCTTACTAACAAAGCAAGGCTAAAGTTGTCAGTCATAGATCCACCTGGCTGAAATTCAAAGCTACTATTCAACTTTTTGAGACGTGGATGACACCACTACTTGATGCCACTTCCTTCTTAGAAGATCACCAGCTAAATAAAATCCAACTTGTGGACAAGCCATGGAAATTAGGGATAAACGTGTTTTAGAAAGAATTTAAGTTTTACAAGCTGAAACAAAAATGATTTAGCAATTCCAGTTTTAATCTAAGTGCGTCAGATACCTCATTCCAGGTCAAAGGAGATGATGTTACATCTGTTTGTATATTGCTTATCATCTACAACAATTCACTGTGAAATTTACAAATAAGCAAACAGGATTAAGAAGATGAATTACTACAGACATTATTGTTTTGTGAAATGAATAAGCTATTATTCAAAGTAAAATGTTCCATTTCAAACTAAAACTCAGATGTCTATTATATACAGGTATTTATGAGTTCTATTTGTTATGGTTGGATACGAGGTATCCCCCCACCACCATCAAAAGCTCTTGTTAATGCAGGAATATTCAGAGACGACATGATTGGGTTTATAGGAGCTGTAACCTAATCAGACCATCTCAGTTTGAATGAACTAACTGGGTGGTAACTGTAGGCAGGTGGGGTATTAATAGAGGAGCCATGCGCCTCAGAAGGGGAAGGCACTTCTCCCTCCCTCCTCTCTCTGGGCTTCCTGACTCCCCCATGAGCTGAGCAGCTTTCCAGCTCTGGTCTCCTCCCCCCATGATGTGTTGCCTCAACTTGGGCCCAGAACAATGGAGTTGGCCATCTATGTACAAGAGACCTCTGAAACTGTGAGCCCCAAATAAATTTTTCTTCCTCTAATTAGCTCTTGTCGGGTATTTTGTCATAGCAGTGCAAAAGTTATCTAATTTTCCAATGATTAAAAAAATAATAATAACTAATTTGAGGCAACTTCCAGTAATATGCCTTAGCATACCACTTGTAGATACACAGCCCATAGCATCCAGCTTTTATTTTTTAAAACAAAACAAAAAACAAACTCTTCATTACTTGAATTAGAAAAATTATATTCTCCCCCAACCTTCTACACCGCAAACACGATTTGCTAATCCCTGTGCTAGGGAAAATTTTAGAAGACAATTTGATGTTAATAATTTTTCATAGTGACAGAACCAATTACCATCTCCCCATTTGTGATAAGATTGTCCCATTATTAGTATTTCTATTTGTAATACTTTCTAATAACTTCTGTAAAACAAAAATTAAATCATTTTATTATGTTTGTGAAAATTAATTTGCAGTAATACAAAGACATGAGGAAAATTTCACTGCAATTAAAATAGAGTTGTAAAGTGTTTCAGGTTAACAGATCGATTATACTCACTTTTGTTGTCTTTGTATAGAATGGGGAGGAGAGTTGGTGAATGGGTAGGTCCACAATACTACTGGAGTTTGTGACACTGTTACTATGAGTATGTTCATCTTCTCTGCTACTGTCATCAGACTGATCAAAATCATCACTCTCCTGGTCCATTTCCTCCTCCTCTTCATCCTCCTCATCTTGTTCACCAGCATGTTCTTCTTCTTCCTCTTGTTCCTCTTGATTTCCTGAGGAGTCCTCATCTACTGAAATAAATCGATTATTGTTTTCTTCCACTTGTCCTTGCTGGGAGTCACTTTGGTCTCCAGGTCTAGGTTCTACTCCAACAACTTCACCATTCCTTGCAGTGTGCTCCTCCTCTTGTTGTCTCAGTTGCTGCTGCTGCTGTTCCTCCTCTACTACACGATTCATCTGTTCCTCATCTGCCTGGCTTGAGGAAGGGTTACCTCTTAGAGAACCTCCAGTTCGTCGTCTTTTGCTGCCCACAGAGAGCAGTTCCTGATTCATTTCCAAAAGCCAGCTTGCTACTTCTTGGACCTTGGCTAGACTATCAGAAGATGAAAAGGTTTTCACATTCTGCAGGGGAAAATGGGAGGAAAAATTAGGTTTTTATATCCATATTATCTTCTAATTTCACACACACACACACACACTAATACACACACACACATATATTAAATATCATTAAAGATTGTAAAAAGTATCTAATGCCATCATCATTAAGATGCTCTTTAGTAATCAATACAGAAAGTTTAAATTATAAAAGTTATATGAGAATTTCCCCAAATTATACAGCAACCAGCTTTATTGCAACATCTTTCTTTTAATAATTCTTAGCTTAAAACTTTATAATTTAATTTGTTTTGGCTAATAAAATATAACTTAACCAATAAAATGATTATTAAATTTTAGATCAGTAGTTCATAAACTGTGTAAAACTTCCACAAAATGTTATGAAGTGTATCACAAAAAAACTATTCAGTGCTCAGTCAAGTTCAGAAAATGCAAAGGTAAATCAAGTTGAAAAGCTCGGTATCCTGTGAATTTCCCAAACTTCTCTGATTATAGAATCTTGTCTCATACACAGTGTTTTGACAGGTAACAAATATATTCATTATGATTTGCATTTTTGATAATATAAATCAACTGGGAAGCAAAGAAATAAAACATTTCCATTTTTTAAAAAAAGGAAAAATTTTCTTAAGTTCATACCCTCTGACCCAGTAACTCCACTTCTGGCAATCTATCCTAACGAAGTAATCCTAAAACAGAAAGAAAAAAAAAAAAAAATTATACAGAGGATGCTCACTGCAGCTCTATCCACAAAAGCAAAAAAAAAAAAAAAAAAATAGAGAGAGAAACAATAAAGAATACAAATAAAAATAAAAACCCAGATGTTCAAGATAAAAGAATTCTGTGAGATGGGACATACAGTATAATCCTTAAACATGATGTTCATGAAATTTTGTGAAAACATGGATGTTTATATTATATTATGGTAAGGGGGAAAATTCAGGTAATTACATAACCACAGTATGATTTTTTTAAACTGCATGAAGACTAGATAACAATACTTCAAAATAAATTGCTTTTTAGGCATTGGTAGTATGGATGCTTCATTCCTAAACTTCATCCTTTGTTTGTATCTCTATGGACATGTTCAAGGTTACCCAAATAATGCCAACACACTAGGCACATTAAAAAGTAATTAAGCACTCATGATCTAAAACTTGAAACTTTAATAAAGCTAATAAATAGTTCTGTCCAAAGTGCAAGTGTTTTTTTTCTTTTAAAACTCTAATTATGATCTTGTTTTTAGAGAAAACTTTTTATGTGATTTAGAACATATAAAACATAAATATCAATAAACACACTCCTATACCCTAAAATTCATCAAAAATTCAAGGATGTTCTTTTATTTCTTCTTACCAGCAGAAGTACCTAATATCAAGCATATCAGATACATAACTTATGTTTTTATCAATAATTAATGAGACAACTTGAGTTCAGTAAAATAAAATATGATGGCTAACCTATTTTGACATTAAATTGTACTATTTCTTTGGCAATCTGATGAGAATGGAACTGACTCAAGGTCAGGAACAATACTGATAAAAGAAAACCACAGAATTTTTAAACTGAAAATGTTCCTCACTTCACACTCAAGGCAATTAAGGCTGGAAGAACTCACGTGAATTTCTCAAGCTAGTTAGCTACAACTAGCTTCATGTAAAACACATACACACACACAAACACACACACACACACAAACACATACAAGAATCTGACACCCGAGTCTTCTTTCTTGTACCTCAGCGTACAAAAACAACATGATAAAAACCTAAAAGAATATTATGCTTTTTTCCCTTTGGGTACCGGTGATTGGACTCAGAGGCACTTGACCACTGAGCCACATCCCCAACCCTATTTTGTAGAGACAATGTCTCACTTAGTTGCTTAGCACCTCACCATTGCTGATGCTGGCTTCAAACTCAAGATTCTCCTGTCTCAGCCTTCCAAGCCATTGGAAGAACATTATTCTTTAACATTGATATTGCTTTCTTTAGTGTCTCTTTAGACTCAACCCCAGTACTACCAAAAAATTTTAACGTAAGAAATGTTTCTTTACTTGGGTGGGGGGTGGTATTGGGGATTAAGCCTCGTGTATGCTAGACAGTTGCTCCACCATTGAGCTACATTCACAGCCTTTCTTTAAATATTAACCAATGTAATTTAGCCTTTTTTGACCAGAACCCCCAGTAACATTAGATTTTACATTGTAAAGTTGCATACAAATATTTAAACATACCAGCAACAATAGTTTCACAGGGAGGGAATTACAAGATGTTTCCAATAACTTAAGACTCTATAAAACACCATGCTTAAATAAATAGTTAATTCTCATTATTTACAGTGATTTTGTTCCATGAAGTTACTGCAATCACGAAATCAGCAAATACTGAGCCATTCCTCCTAGAGAAAAATACAGGTCCTTCAAGCCTCTGGTCACATTTTCATCAACCAATCAATGCATAACCTCTTTTATGTGTGTTTGTGATTAAAGATATCTTATTTAATATACATTACAGACTCATTAGCATTGAACTCACATTCAATGGCATTATAACTCATGCCTAAATGAAGTTTACCTAACACACATTATTTTCTCCATAAGGTACACATCACAGACTTCTTGAGCCTTAGCTCATTAAGCAGTAATTCAGCAGTATGCCTGGGGATCATTTTTTTTCCAAAATGTTTTTATTATTGATAGACCTTTATTTTATTTATTTATATGCAATGCTGAGAATTGAACCCAGTGCCTCACACATGCCAGGCAGGTTCACTATTGCTGAGCCCTAGCCCCAGCCCTGGGGGTCATTTTAAGCAACACAATCACCAACAAAAAACACAAATAGCAGAGAAAATGTACTACTACAGACCATGGAAAGGACACTGTTCATAGTATGAGAGCTGAAACAAGGAGGCAGAGCAGCATCCTCCTGACCTCTTTCCTTGTTGGAAATATGCATGTCAGTTTGATCAAATGTTCTGACGTGTACATGTCCATAAATGACTGTGAAGGTGCTACAACTATTTATTTGAATGTTATAAATTTATGTATAATTTTATAAATTTATAATATTTGCAAATTTGTGGATAATTAGGGTGGACTGTAATACTTCATCCAAATCCTCTAGATGGAGCACTGCTTGCAATGCAAGAGTCACACAGCACTCTGACACCAATGTCACCTATTGTTACAGTCTGCTAATCTAACAAAAGACAAATGATCAGAGAATTAAAAGCTTCAACACAGATATTCATCACTAAACTTTTAAAATAAAAGTTCAGATAGCTCAAATAAAATAAAGTTGGACTTTACATAGAACAATAAGTAGAGAAAGAAAAGGCAAAGGTACATTATTTCTTCTTGTGTAAGTGAAGAGAAAAGCATCTTTTGGCAGTGTCTTTAACAGTACTGGGAGATCGAAAGAGGTTCTGACCTCAAAATGCCTAAAAAAAGATGCTTATAGTCAGCTTCCTTCCAGACAAAAGAGAAGTATTATTAAAATTTTGTTCTTCAATAAAATTTAAAAATAAGGTTATAGCGAGAAACAAGACCTACTCTATGACTCTCCAAAAGTCCTAAAAATGCAGGGTAATTTATAGCCACTATTCCTTGTTGATTTAGTGACACTTCAGACGGTGTGTGTGTGTGTGTGTGTGTATGATGAACTCTGCAACTAGTTTCTCATGAGCCTTGTTTTTCAGAAGATCTTTCTCTCACAATATTTGAACTGTTTATTTTAGGATGTTTATGGAATAAATGTGAGCATAGTACATGAGCAAACATGAAGCTCTGAAAGCCTATCTTCAACCAAACTAGAGTCATGAACCTCAAGAAAAATTCCAAGCCAAAGGCTAACTCTGAAATCACAGCAGACGTTAGGAATACTGCGTATACTAACAAAACAGGGAATGATTTAAGTAAATTATTAAGGCATCCAAATAACAGTGCAACATTAGCACTTTCAGAAGTCACACAGCAAGTATGATACATTAGATTTGAGCTACAAAGGCAGTTAAGAATCTTTAGAACACAGGTGACAAGAAAATAAGCCAAACTGTACAATCATCAGGAAGAAAAGCTCAAAAGTTTGGAGTTACATAACTCAAACAATTTGGGAATTTCACTGAATCCTAAAAGACACTTCCTACTGACCAGGAGTGCCACTTCCTGTCATCCCACACTCCCTCTTCATTTTGAACTTTCTATACCCCAAATTAATAATTTGTGGATTGATTATTATGGTCAAGCTAATTAGCAGTTAAGTACCTGAAACAGATTTAAAGTAAGTCATATCTTATCACTCCACTGCTCAAAATCCACCAAGAGAAAGCAATGTTTTACAGTCACCTGTGGATCCTATAAATAACCTACATGTGTCCCAACACTCTCAGCGCCTATCGTCCTACTTTCTCCTTCTCACTTTGCTCCACCCTTTCTGTCCTTGTTCTCTTCCAAAGAGCAAAGTATGTTGCAACCTGACAGCACGTGCTCTGGTTATTTCTGTCTGAATGCTCTCCCCCATGTATATGCATGGTTCTTTCCATTTCCTAACCCTGCTGAGAGGTCCCCTGTCAATGCCGTGTTCCCTAACTATCCCATTTAAAACTACATCTTTCAGCTGAGGCTGTGGCTCAGTGGTAGAGTGCTTGCCTAACATGTGTGAGGCACTGGGTTTGATTCTCAGCACCACATATAAGTTAATGAATAAAATAAAGGTCTATACATCTAAAAAATATTTTTTTAAAAAACTACATCTCCACCACCATGTTTCCTTTTCCCCTTGCCCTGCTTTATTCTTCCCTATAGTTCTAAGTATATAAAAGCACTAAAACAGTACGTGTGGTTTAAAGAGTCCATACTATCTATCCACCCATTTATTTATGTATTATCTGCCTTCCACTACTAGAATTTAAGCTCCCTCAGGAAAGAGACTCATTTTTTGACACTGTTATCATTAACACTCACAAAAAATATCCAACTCAATCTATACTCAAAACATTAGTTTCATGAGTAAATAATTATTTAAAACTTATTAAGCCAGCATTACACTGAGAATGTCTTCTTCACCAAAGAAATTCAAGCCTCGTCACAAACACAATATCAATTATTTAAAACACACTTTTAAAAGTTGTAATCCGGAGGCTGAGGATGTCATCAGCAGTAGAGCACTTGCTTACCAATTACATGCCAGACCCTGGGTTCCATCGCCAGCACTGCAGTGAGGGAAAAAGTTGTACTCTGTGTTCAACAAGTCACTTATGGTACCTTTGAAACTAATTAGGGTATAAATCCTAATACCTTACCATTAATTTATAAATAATCTTCTAAGTCATAAAAATCATTTTTCTACTTTATCAAGTTTCTTGTTTTTAGCACAGGCAATTAAAAACAATTAGGTGCCAGCTGGGCATGGGCCTGTACTCTTAGTGGCTTGGGAAGCTGAGGCAAGAGGAAAGCAAGTTCAAAGCCAGCTTCAGCAAAAGCAAGCCTCTAAGCAACTCAGTGAGAGCCTGTCTCCAAATAAAAAGGGCTGGGGATGTGGCTCAGTAGTCGAATGCTCCAGAATTCAATCCCCAGTACCAAAAACAAAAAACAATTAGGTGCCAGGCACGATGGTGCATGCCTATAATCTCAGAGCTCAGGAGGCTGAGGCAGAAGGATGGCAAGTTCAAAGTCAACCTCAGCAAC